TTAAATACTTAATAAATACTTAATAAAATATTTATAAAACTTAAAATACTCGCTTGAAGTTGGCAAATTATAAAAATAAAAAATTTATAAAAAATAATTAATTAAATCATTTAAATTATTAAAAATAAATCAAATACTTGTATCGGTTAAAGCCTTAGAACTTAGCCGCGCTCTGATTGTGATTTTTAATGATTTGCGAACTACGAGAGAATGCTCCTCGAAATAAAATATTTGGTTGCCCTGAAAAGGGCAGATTAATTATTTTCTTTATAATAGGTGTTCAAAATGTCCACCATCCATTGCGATGCAAGCTCTCATGCGTCTTAATAAATTTTCTTGAGTTTTTTCCATAACTTCGTCGTCGACATCCCAAATCGCAAAGTGAAGTTTGTCATTTAATTCTTCGATGTCCTCGGGAAGCTGTCTGTAAACAATTTCTTTGCAATGTCCCCACAAAAAAAAATCTAATGGATTGAGATCCGGGGATCTTGCAGGCCAATGTATCGGGCCGTACCGTCCTATCCAACGTCCAGGAAATCGCTGATTTAAGAAATTTGTAACGATTCTGGCATTATGTGGTCCAGCACCGTCTTGTTGAAATAAAATTTGGTTTCTGCGTTCTAGTGGTACTTGTTCCAAAAAGTCTGGTAGATTTTCTTGTAAAAATTCCAAATACGATACGCTGTTTAACGTATCTGGAAGAATTACTGGACCCAATATGTTTGTGCCCATAATTCCAGCCCAGACGTTCAGTTTCCAACGAACTTGATAATTTCTGATTCGTGTCACACGAGGATTCTCTTCGTCCCACACATGCATATTGTGCGAGTTAAAAATTCCTTCTCGTGTAAACAACGATTCATCGCTGAATATTACACGAGAAGGAAATTCGGGATCTTCGTCTACTCTTCTTAAGAAATCCTCGCAAAATCTTCTCCTCTGAGGATAATCTTCTTCTCGTAAATGTTGCACCCGAGTATAGTGATAGGCGTGCAATTTTTCTTCTTTAAGTATTCTCTGAACGGTGGAATAAGATAATTGATATTCTCGAGCAATATCCCGAATGCTAATTTCAGGTTCTTGCTCGACAGCGCGAAGGACTGTTTCGACGTTCTGCAAATTTCTTGCATTGCGATGTCTGCCGGCGTCTTTCTTCTTCTGTAAGACGCTGCCAGTTTCATATAGCCTTTGAGCTGCCTCGAGTATAACGTTGGGTCTTGGATGTCTTGCTCGATTGGGATATAATTCGGCGTATCGTCTTGCAGCAACGTAATATTGCCCGTGGCACTCTCCGAGTACCATCAGCATATCGTAATATTCTTCGTTCGTATAAGCAGCCATCCTGATAATGCTTCTAATGATCGAAGGATTATTGATCGCAGTATCGATCGCGTCGTCCTATTTATGCGATCTTCGTA